ATCAATGCCACAAAGGTAAAAAAGGCAAAATCACAATGGACATTGCTGAAATCCAATAGAGAGTAACTACTGTGAAAAATTGTGCTCTGACCACTGGGAAAACAAATGGAAATGGACAGATTCTTAGACACAGATAATGGGCTGGTGAGATAGCTCCACAGACTGAGTACCTGCCTAGGCAAGCACAGGGACTGGGGTTTGATCCCCTGATGGGTTGGTCCTGTCCCCAGGTGCACTGAGCCAGTCACCGAGACTTGGCCTGGTGGCGCACACCTGTAATCCCAGCACTGGGAAGGCTGAAAACAGGAGGATCACTAGGAGTGTAAGCTGCATAGTGTGACCCTGTACCAAACACATTAAAAAAAAAAAAGTTGTGAACAAGAACAAGTAATGAAATCAAGGCAGAGATTAAAAACAAACAAACAAACAACAAGAACAACAAAATTACAAACTAAGAAAAACTGAGAGGCCTGGGATGTAGCTCAGTGGCACAGCACCTGCCTAGCAAGTTCACGACTGTGATTTCAATACACAGTACAAAACAACACACATAATGACTACAAAAAAACCTCAAGATCTGATGGATTCACTATCAAAATCTGCAGGACCTTCAAAAAGGTTTATAATACCAATTCTCCCCCAAACTCCGTAATGAGATTGAAAGAGGAGGACTGCTGCCAAACTCATTTCTGAAGACCAGTGTCATATTGATCTCAAAACATGATGAAGACCCAACTTAAAAACAAAAAAACAATTTGGACCCTGCTTCGTCAAGATGGTGCTGCTGGAGAGCAAGCAGTTCCTGACCAAGCTGACCAAGCTCTTCCAGAAGTGCTGGACTTCAGGCAGTGTGTTCATCTCCCTGAAGAAATACGATGGTCGAACTGGATCCTTCCCAGAGAAGCGCTCTGTGGAGGGCTTTGAGCCTGCAGATGACAAACGTCTGTTGAGAGCAACAGATGGGAAAAAGAAGATCAGCACTGTGGCGAGCTCTGAAGAAGTGAGTAAGCTTCAGATGGCCTGTTCGAACCTGCTGAGAGCAAATGTGGATGGGCTGAAGAAGAGAAGCAAGAAGAACAAGAGTAAGAAGGCCAGAACAGCACAGTGAAGGGCTCAGGGTTCTCTGCTCTTATCAGTTAACCAACAGATTGCTGTTTTTCCTCTTAGCCACAAAGCTAGATTTCTGGTTTCCCTGTGGCAATGATTTTCATCTGAGATGAGGGTCATTTTGGAGAGAAAAAGGTTATAATGTACAGGGTAGTTGTGGTAAGAAACTCATTCAGATCTGTGCTGCATGGTTGTGTTCTTAGTTTTCAAAGGCCTCTGTAACCAGTTCCCTGAAGAGCAATGTATCATTAAATATTTGTTTAAAAAATAAAACAAAACAAAACATCCAGAAACTACAGGCTTTTAGGCATGGCAGTGCATGCCTGTAATCCCAGCACTCAGGAGGCTGAGGCAGGAGGATTGGCTGTGAGTTTGAGCCAGCTGGCCTGTGTAGTGAGTTCAATGCAAGGCCACCCTGAACTATGTAGTGAAACCCGTCTCGAAATAAATAAAAAGTCTATGGTCATACCATCCTGAACATGCTTGATCTCATTGAAAGACAGACAGACAGACAGACAGACAGACAGACAGACAGACACACACTATAGGACAAAAAGATGGTTCAACATACCAAAATCAGTAAGTATAATACGCAATAAGAAAAAAAAAAAGGGGAGAAAAACCATATGGTCCTATCAATAGATGCAGAAAAAGTTTTTCACAGAATCCAACACTCATTCATGATTTTTTTTTAAAAAAATGAAGAAAATAGGTATGTAAAGACTTTACCTCATAAAGGCTTGTTCTCTCAAGGTCAGGTACAAGAAAAGAATGTCCACTATTATCATTTCTTTTCAACATAATACTCAAAATCCTGGCCAGAGAAATCAGTGAGATACATGTAGAGAAGGAAAAAGGTCACATTATTATTATTTACAAATGATATGATCTTCTACATAGGCAACCCAAAAATTCTACCAAAAGACTCCTGGAATTAATAACCAAATTCAGCAATGTAGCAGAATACAGAATCAACACACAAAAATCCACAGAGTTAAAAAAAATTCATAGAATTCCCATACCCCAATAATGATCTCACTAAGGAGAAATTAGGAAAACAATATGATTTATAATGGCATCCAAAAAAATTAAATACCTAGAAATCAACCTCACCATATAAATGAAGATGTTC